GGGAGCCCCCACCCATGGCCTTGCCACCCAATTAAGCCACACTGGGATCCATGGGCATTATACAGAGCCCAAAAAGCTCAACCTTCTCACCCGTCCATCAGGGCACATATGGGCATTATACGAGCCCAAAAAGCTCAACCGTCTCACCCGTCCATCAGGGCACGTAGATCAACCAGTTCACCCACATATTCTGTCCCTTCCTCATTTCAAGCCCCCTGAGGAGGAAATGGAAGGTACTGGAAGATCTCCTCACACCTGCACGTATTTTCATAACCTGTTGACACCATCATGCCACCCTTTCCCACATCAGAGGACTTTAAATCATTCCAAGACCTCTGTAAAAGAGTCACTAACTCCCTTACCATTTCTCTGGAGAAGCTAGCAGAGACACAATATAAATCAATTGTCATCTGACATGCTTCTCCTGCAGCCATGAATGCAGCCCTCCTAGATGAGGCAGTGGAAGCAGCTTCGCCTTCACCACTAGATGACTATAAAATCAGGATTTCTTTAGGAGCACCGGTTCCTGTCCTCCTACCCCCAGCCTCTGATACAAGCTTAGATTATGGGGTAGTTGAGTACTAGACTACTCGTTTACATCCCTATTCCCAACAACAGCGGGATAGCCTCTACGACAGGGGTGGGGAACCTCCAGTCCGCCAAACAATTTAATCTTGCCCTCAGGGGAGGAAGGGGTGGTCACAGCTTCTTACTTTTGTGCAGCCTCTGGCAGATATCTCTGTGGGTTAGCAGCCCCTGATCCAAAGAAGGTTCCCCACCCATGTTCTGCAAGAAAGAGCTTTGTAACCAAGAGGAAGTTGTTCTTCATCTGGTGTCAACAGCATAACTCCTCTTAAGGGCCATGTCTACATTACAGAGAAGATTGGAGCAGCTGCAGTCGATCTTCCAGGATTTGAATTAGCGGGTCTAGCGAAGACACGCTAATTCGAACAGAGAGGGCGTGCCAGTCAATGCTGGTAATCCTGCTTCTACGAGGAGTGAGGGAAATTGAAGGGAGAATGTGCTTCCTTTGACTTCCTGTAATGTGGACAGCACCAAAATCCAAGGTAAGATACTTCTACTTAAACTACACAATTAACTTAGCTGAAGTTTTACATCTTAATTCGAACTCAGACCCTAGTGTAGAGCAGGGGGAAAAGAGTCTGGGATCCATTTTACTCTGGATTATGTTCTTCCCTTGAAATGATCAGTCTCATCTGTCAGTTTGCTATGTGTGCATCTGGCAGCTTTCAACACCTTTCTTCTCTGATGGAGAACTCCTCCGTCGTTACCCATCCCACAACAGCACAAAGTACTTGAAAGGCATCATCAGAGCTTTCCACCAGTACTACAAACTGCACTGGCCAAGAACATAAACTTGGTACTTTTGGCATTTATAACCCACTATTTGAACTGCAGCCCAGATTCAGTGGCTTGGTGAGCTTCTTCCCACAGGAAATATTTTGCCCACCTCTGCCTTATAATCTCAGTTCAGTGGAGGCGCAACCACCAGATAGCACAGATGCCGACCAACAGACACTTCTATTGAAAAAAGCATCCAATCTCAGGCACAGAGAGTCTGTACACCCACAGTGAATCTCTCTGAGGACCACACATCTCAAAAAACTCCAACTGCTATAAGGTAAGTAACCTCTATTTTCTAGCCATTAGAGCTCATGTCTTTTTCTGCTAGATTAAAAAGCTCCCTACTGTTAGAAATATCTTTCCTATACAGGTAGTTGTGGACTGTGATCAGGTTACCTCTTAGCTGCTTTTTGAATGAACAAAATAGACTGAAATTCTTAAACCTCTCAATATAAGGCATGTTGTTTTACAGACCTCAAATCATTCTTGTTTTTAATTTTTTTTGTGGACACTAGAACTAAACACAATATTCCCATAATAGTATCCCTTTTGTACTCCTAGTTGATGTTCACATTTACATATCCAAGAATTCCACTCTACTCCCTCTGACATTTCAGACAGATTAGGCATTAAAACTCAGTTCACCATGTGCAACTGAAAAATTGACTGAACCCAACAATCCTAAGGGTGACCAATCCTAGAGTGACCATCAATCCTCGACCTCTCATGTGGAAAGGATCGTCCCCATCCCGGGGTAAGAAGGTAAGAAAAAATGGTGAGATTTTTCAAAGATTATATTTCCACTAGTATTTCTTCAATATAGTAATTGTAAGTTATCTTGCTAAGTTTACACATTCTAGCAAGACTTCAAGTAACCATATTTAGACTGTAACTCCTTTATAAATACAAGCAAATTAGCCTAAGAGGGACTGAAAACGATACCTTTAAGCAATTGTTTTTAACAGTGTAAAATTATCTCCTTTTTTTTTTTTGAACAAATTATTAAAAGAGTAACCAAATTGTGATGAGTTAGGTATAGGGCTGTCAAGCAATTAAAAAAAAGAATTGCAATTACCCGTGCGATTAAAAAAATTAATCTTGATTAACAGCATGATTAATCACGTAATTAAATAATAAGTCTCCGACTGATCCCGGGCTCTGCTAGCACTGCCCCTTTGAAACGCAGCAGCAGCATTTCAAAGGGACGGTGCTGCAGGTGCCCAGGATCAGCTGGAGTCCCCAGCTGCCCCTGGGCTCCGCGTTGCTCTGCCCCTTTGAAATGCCCTGCCTCACAACTGACCCCCGAACGCTGCTTGGAGCTGCCCCTTTGAAACACAGCAGTGGCGTTTCAAAGGGGCAGCGCTGCACAGAGCCCGGGGTCAGCTGGGGACTCCAACTGATCCCAGGCTCCCACTGTGCTGCCCCTTTGAAATGCCCTGGCAGCGTTTCAAAGGGGCAGCACCACGGAAACACCTGCGATTAACGCATGTTAAAAAAATTAATGCGTCAACTGTGCTCCGCGTTAATCGCAGGCTTTAATGCACGTTAATTGACAGCCCTCGTTAGGTACAAGAATTAAGAATTGATTATCATAAATAAACATTGTAAGAAACCTTGGTAATTTGCATCATGCCTTGACTTAACTGCCGAGCCCTATGTCTGATTATTGCATGCAAGACTGTATTGTGTATGTGTAGTACACAATTACAACATTGATTTGGCTACACTTGAGTGGTTAACTGTTGGTTGTATATTGTGGAAACAGGACTAGGGGAGAGGGGATTTGTGTGTCCATTTCAGGGTTTGTCAGTAGCAGAGCAAGAGTCTGGTTCATTCTGACTCTTGCTAACGCGAGAGCTAGGAGAGACGTTGTATTCGCCTCTCTGCCTCGCTCTCCAAGATAAGAATGGAATGCTGACCTCAGTGAGACGATAAGACAGTATCCTATGGGAATTGAGTGGGCAGGGAAGTAATTGTTTGATGTTATATGTAACAGAAAGGTATGTATATTGGGTTTTAATTGTTTTGTATTTGAAGATCCGCTTATGCTGTCTTCCCTTGCAATATTGCTCGAATAAATTGCCTCTGGCTACTTGTTGCTTACAAACGCAGAGTGAGGACAATGTTTTCTTCCACAATACTAATTTGGTTCTGAGTGGATTAATAAAATATTGATTAGCTAAGAATGTGCAAGAGTCCTGATCAATGTTCCTTACATTTTTTTCCATGTATGTGCAGAATAAATTAAATAAATTGCATGCACCAGGGCATATGTGGATGTGCACCACCAGTAGAAACACATGCTGCTGGCTGAGTGCATACTGGGTGCTCTGCTAATCAGCTGGGCAGCATTTGAATCTCTCCTGAGAAGCTGCCCCAATGCTCAGCATACATGGAACACTGATTCTGATTTATGAATACTGATCAAGTTAAAAGTTCATCTGAAAAGAACCCAGCATTAATACTAATGACCTAACATTCACTGGACTCAGAAAAAGGTTATTATTAAATTCCATTCTATATTGGCTGGAACACTTATTCAGTTGACAAACCTAGTTTGGTAGATTTCAGCAAGTTAATAAAAAAATTACCTCCTTTCATGCTTACATAATTGGGCAGAAAGGAGAACTAGGATATATTGTGATCCTTTACCACCAGTCATCAGGGCTTAGTATTACTACCGACTTTAGGACAAGGTATGCCCAGGGCCGGATTAAGGCGGGGCTAGCCGGTCAGCTGCTCAGGGCACCAACCTACAGGAGGCACCTTATGATAGTTGTAAGAGGCGCTGCGCGCCCAGCCGCACGGCACCCCTTAGAGCTGCCATCAGGCGCTGCGTACCCGATTGTAGCTGTAAGGGGCGCAGTGCACTGGGAGTGGGGCCACGCATGCACCATGCGCCCAGGGGCGGAGCCGGCATGCGTCACGTGCCCACTGCCCGGGGCGCAGGAATGGCTCGAGCTGGCCCTGGGTATACCTACTGATTCATTTACCTCCTAAAGAAATAGAAGACAGTAGCAGTAAGAGATTTTGAAGAGGATCACAGAGATTTCAGGCATGAACTCCATGCTTTATCAGACGTGTCAGAGGGGGTAAGATATCACACCCATTAGAATATTTGTTATAATTAAATATATATAACTTATTAGTGTAAGGTTTGCTAAAAATGATATTTGGTCTTGGATATTCACAATAGCACAATGTAAAACATTTTAGGACACCTTCATTTAAGTAAGCTTTTTATTCTGTCTTTTATACTCATTAAATCCTCTTAGTGCTTTTATTTTCAGTCTCTTCTCATCTTTACATTTTGTGATAGATTTAAAGCAGCCCATTCTGAGATATTCCAATGTTCAACAGTAAATAAATAAATCTTTCTCCCTCAAAAAACCGTATATTTGTTTTCAATAGAATATAAGAGTTTTAATAAACAACTGACTGGATTTCTGATAATTGTATAAGGAATACTGTTTATTTCTTACAAACAAGTTGTTTTGTTTTAAATAAATATTAAGATAGATTTATTTCATATATGGACTTTGGGTACAATTTTCAGAAGTGCAAAAGTCTCAATGGCTTGAGTCCCTAAATTAAGCAAATGAGACTCAGGACCCTAAGTTATTTAGGCCCTTCTGAAAATTCTACCCTTCATGATTTCAGTAGTCTGTGGTCATTGCTGTGAGGTATGAACTTTGCTCTGTCTTTGTTTTAGACCCAAGAGTTCTGTTTTCAGTTCTCCAGGCTTAGGTGGAATTTCAGGTATAGTCTATAAAATAAATAAAACAAAGTGGTGTTAATGCTCAAAATCTGTGACTGAGGTACAGAAAATTGAACAACCAGAAAATTAGAGACAAAAAAGAACACTACATTCAAGTTACAGTTTGATCTCACCCCCTCGTCCCCAACTCCTGCCCTGCGGCCTGACCTCCTTATACCTGGACTCTATGATCCTGCCAAACCATGAATATTGCCAGATCACAGAGTCCTGGTTAAGGGAGGTACAACTTGTAGTAGATTATGGGAGTGTATAAATAGGCAAAACCATGCTATTTTCTACTCTGTTTTCTGAAACAAAGGAATATTGTGGGAACAGGGAATGTTTCCCAATGTAAAAGACAAAAGTAAGAGAAAAGGTTGTAAATGCTAAGAGCTTGGAAAAATATGAAAGCCAAAATCAAGCTATACGAATATCAAACCATTGCAATACTTTTTCCAAGATCTGACTTTACATGTATTTTCACTCCTTGAATTTCCAGACAAAGTGAACTACAAATCTCTACTAAAACTGCAGCATTTCACCTGGTGTAGGATTGAATCCACAAAAATTTCACGCTTTCCATCCAAATCGTATGTTGATCTAACTTTGCCCAAAAGATCACTTCTAAGCTTTAGATCTTAATAAAACTAGTTAACATTTTCCTGGTTCTGTGACTATTTCTTTTAAAAACAGAGGCTTATTATGTACTCTCTGGTCCTTCCTCAGCATACAGTGCAGCTGGTCACTACTCAATCTGCTTCCGAACCAATCTGACTCAGATTTAATAGGGAGGGGAAAAAAACACCTTGAATGAATTACTAATTTAGGATTCTAGCTCTTCTAGTCTAGAGCAGAAAATAATCTTATAATCCCAAAGTAAAGTTATTTTACATTATCAATAACCTGGTATTTCTTTTAACTTCAGTTTCTTCAAAACTGAAGAAAAATCCTGAGACTAGGCAAATGTGTGAAACTGCTAGAAAGTCATGTGCCCTTTTTCCTTATTATTGGAATGACAAACGAACATATCAACCTTTTTGATATAGAAGTGTTTTGGTATTTTTGACCTAATGGCTTTTGTACACTGAACAGTTTTCCTAGCGAAGAAATGTCAAAACACATTATTATTTAGCAGTTATAATAAATGAAATAAGAAATCAAAGCCTTAAATCACTTACAAGATCAGGTCTGTAATATCTATGCACAATTTCTGCACCTGCAAACATAGCCAATGTGCTTGCACTGATCATTTTCAAGTATTGAGTCCAAGATACCCCAGCAGGCATGATGAAATGCAGTCAGCACTTGAAATTCGAGAACTCCAGCTGTCTGAGGAAAAGAAAAATTAGAAAAAAAGTTGCAATAATTAGTATGCCAACTATCCCATTCTGAAATACAATCCACCCTGTTGATATCTGTTAACAAGAACCTCTACGTTTAGTTAAATCACATCCACCTTCGGTAGGAAAAAGAGATGGGGGAGAGGAAGAAATTTGCAATAATGGAAGTTCATTTTAAAAAGTTTAAAAGTAGGTAAAGAAAATGTAAAGTGTTCAAATCACTTCAACATACTACAGAGGTAACAGTGCTCCCCGTGGACATCAGCCGGAAGAATTATTTGTCTACCCCCCCAAGGGCAACTTCAGCTCTGCTACACGTATCAATTATAATTTGCGGGTGACTGAGGCATGGGAAATGCACCAACTTGCATTCATCAAAACTCTACATTAGTTTGACCTCCTGTCTGTACCCTGCCCAGGACACTGAACCTGGGGAGGAAGCCCCAAATGCCACGACCCGGAGACACAACTTAGGCCAGCCCGTCCCCCTGCAGGAAAGGAGGAGCCCCCCCCCCAGCAAATCATGTGATTCAGGGCTTGGCTGTCATCTTTCACGTGACTATACTAGCTGCTACGGAACTACGTCTCTTGCCAGATTGCCTCTGCTTCCCCCAAATGGGAGATCCTAGGGAGCTGCTGCTGCAAGGTTCCCTTCCAAACTGGCTGGGGAGAGAGGATGCTGCGGTGACTTGGGAGGTTCCCTCACTGTTTCCTTGTTTGGCTCAGTAAGTGTGTGTTCATTCATATCCCTGAGAGTCTAATACATCTCTCAGAGACTTTCTGCGTTATTCTGAATACCCTACAGTGGCCTAATAAGGCTTAGTCCACTGTAGCAACCACCCTGCGCTAAGATTAGCATTGACTGAGCGATTACATTATCAACACAATAATACTGTACTAACAGAATAGTAACTCCTCTAGCACTAATAACTAGTTATGTTCACTATCCGAGAACAGTCTAGGAATTCCTGACTTGCCAAGGTTTAGGGTGTTTGGTGTTTTTCATTTGTTGTCCCCAGTTCTTGGCATTGTGTGGTTATGTGAAAATCTCAGTTGTTGTTTTTAAAAGTTTCAAGCCCTCATGATTGTGGACAGAAAGCTTAGAAATGTGACAATTAGAGGTTCAAAGATAAGAGGGCAAATAAATATTTTATGTCAGTCTCATATCTGGGGCCTGATTCGTGACTTTTGAAACTTTGTGATAGCAGTACTTAGTCTGTGGTAACGCTGATTGCCTTGTAAGAATATAGAACCCATTCCTGTAAACATTTACATGTCGTCTTAACTTTATACAGGTGAGATATGATCTAGAAAGGCACTTTTGCATGTGCTTAACTTGAAGCCCAAGTAGCCTTGTTGACTTCAATGGGCCTACTCATATGCATACAGAAAGGCATGCACAAAAGTGTTTTGCATGATCAGAGCCGCAGCAGCCGTTTGAAAATATATTAGGGCCTCTGCTGAGTGTTAAGAACCATTACTGTGGAATAATAATACAGTGGCATTTTCTATTAATGCCTTTGGAATCTCTTGTAAGTTGCGATAGACTAGCAATTGAATTTCTTCTCTTGCCTTGTGTTATTTTAGTTTTCGGGCGTGCACGGGCACTGGTGTGCACAAAGCAGTCAGGAGTAAGGGCAGGTTAGCTGGAGTGTCTGGCACACACGGATCGCGTTCTGTCTTGACTCTCCCCCGATAGCTTCAGAACAACAGAATGCCTTTGGAATCTCTTGTAAGTTGCGATAGACTAGCAATTGAATTTCTTCTCTTGCCTTGTGTTATTTTAGTTTTCGGGCGTGCACGGGCACTGGTGTGCACAAAGCAGTCAGGAGTAAGGGCAGGTTAGCTGGAGTGTCTGGCACACACGGATCGCGTTCTGTCTTGACTCTCCCCCGATAGCTTCAGAACAACAGAGGCGCTGTGGTGTTTCCTTATGATCAGTGGGAATCGGGCCGGGAGGGGGGGGGGACTAGAGCCATGGAACAATCCCATCCCGGCGCGTGCCAGGCGCTCTGGGTCAGTCTGGCTGCCAGTCAGTCATCCCACAGGCCCATGGTG